ACAAACATAGATTAATTTTTTATTTTTGGTACCCATATTCTTTTGGGTCCATATTCATTAGTTTCCAAAATTCTAGTCCCCTTAGGTATCCATTTATTTAGAATATCCTTATCTTTAGTAGTAATAAGTTCTTTAGGAACCCATATACTTCAAACGATTTTTCCATTAGAGGTTCTTTGGGAACCTCTATGATTGTAGTTTTTTAAACTTTTTCTAACAAAGTTGGATTTTGAATTCTCTCCTTTTTCAAAATGTTTTATTCCAACTTTATTAAAAGAAGCTTTAAGATCATCAGTTTTCTTTTGATGATCATCATGAACTTTTGAAAGTAAGTTATGCAAATCAATATTTTTCTTTTCAAAAATCTTCGATTTTGATTTGCAATTCTGTAATTTTACTTTCAAGATCTTCGTTGGTCTTGAACATAAGACTATTTTCATTTTTCAATTTTGTAATATCATTTTTGTATTTTCAAAATAAAGTCTTATAACCCGAAGCCAACCCATTATAATCATCTAATAACTCATCATAAGATAAATCTTCTGAATCGAATAGAGGTTACCTTAGAATTTTCCCCGATGGCCATCAAGCACAAGTTTTCTACTTCTTGTTCCTCTTCATCAGAACCTTCTTCATCGCTCCATGTAACCATGTGTGCCTTGTGTTTTTTCTTGGATTGACCCTTCTTCTTTAATTGTGGGAAATCATATTTGGCATGCCTCGACTTTTTGTACTCGTAACAAATAATAGGGTCATTCTCCTTTAATTCAGTTTTGAAGACTTCATTTCTTTTGAATTTTCTTCCTCTGTTGGGCTTCATCAATTTTCTGAACCTCTTGGCAAATAATGTCATTTCCTCGTCATCATTATCTTTATCCGAATCACTCTCATCTTTTGTGGATTTGAGAGCAACTCCAATGTTTTTCTTCTTCTCTATCTCTTTCTTTGTCTCGTCCATCTTTTCGAGGTTTACCTCATCTTGAAGCATTATTTGATGAGTGAGGAGAGAACCAGTTAGCTCATCGAGGGTCAATGATTTTAAGTTTTTAGCCTCGATGATTGACATATTCTTTGATTGCCAAGCTTTTGGAAGAGAGTAAACTAACTTCTTTACAAGCTTCTCGTTTGGAATGATCTCTCCATATGATTTGAGACCATTTACAATCATGGAAAATCTATTCATCATAGATTTGATATCTTCATCTGATTTCATCCTGAAATTTTCATAGCTATAAGTTAGAAGACTAATTTTAGATTCTTTTACCTCGTTTGTGCCTTCATGAGTGACTTGTAGTTTATCCCATATCTCCTTGGCGGTTGTACAAGATGAAACTCTTCCGTATTCATCTGATCCAAGAGCACAAAATATAATATGAATAGCCTTTGAGTTGAGCTGGAACATTCTTGTATCTCCTTCACTCCACAATCTTGGATGAGTGAAAGGTTTGATGTAACTGTCTTCTATGATATTCTATGCTCCCATGTCACTTGCTAGAATGAAGTACATCATTCTATTTTTCCAATAAGCATAATTAGCTCCATTGAAGAAAGGAGGCTTGTTAACGGGCAATGAATCAAGACCAAGGTCGGAGTTTGAAGTGGAGGTCATTGATGACTTGATTATCAATATAACTCTTCCCGAATTGACTCAAGAGGCGATTAAACCTTCAAATGAGTGAGGCTCTAATACCAATTGTTGAGTTAATCGATTAACGAAATAGCCAAGAGGGGGTGAATTGACAATAAAAATTTTGGTGGAAGCTTTCGCAGAAAATAGAAAATAATTGCACAACGATTTAGAGTGGTTCGAATTTCTCAACCAAAGTCTACGTCCACTACCTTAGCTATCCACACTAAGGATTTTCCAACAATTCACTAATTTGTCTTTCTTTTGAGGACAAAGAGTAACCTTACAAAACCCTCAAGAATTATACCCCAAATTCTTGAGAATACTCTCTCCCAAAGAGAACAATACAAATTTCGCAAACTTATAGAAAAACCTCACAAGGCAATATGTTTGCACAATTCTAGAACAAGAAAAGAACACTCAAGGATGATTACAAATGAACACAATATGTGTTCTTGAAAGCAAAATGAATATTGAAGGAAAATTGGCTTGAAATACACAAACTTGATGTTTGATGCTTTCTCTCTTGTTTCTTAATGAATTCTTGTTTATCAATGGCTTCAGAACTTGTTTAAATACACCTTGGATTGATTCTAGCCGTTGGGAATCATTTGGGTGATGTTAGAGTCGTTGTAGTGTGAAAACCCTTTCCAAAAAGTCTGTTGGGAGCGTGGGATATTGTACCCCTCCATAGGGTATCAGTACCTACAGTGTAAAATTCAAATATTTCGACCGTTAATTGACTAGGGGTATCGATACCCATAGAGCACTCTGTTTTTCTCGGAACCAAAACTTGCATAGGGTATCGGTACCCTCTGGGCAATCTGGTTTTCTCGAACCCCTTTTATAAAGAAAATATTCTTGGCTCGATTAAAGCTTGAATTACTTTATAAAATTTGTTTCAAAAGTATTTTAAGATTAAAACATAATTTTACACTTACGTAAGGATTTGAAATTGACATTGAAAAACTTGGAGTAATATTTTGATATTCGAATAATTTAATCGAATATACTTTAAAAATGATTATAAAATCTTAAAATTCAATAATACTTAATTTGTTATATCGAAACATCAAAAATGTTTTCAACATAAACTAATGCTAAAAAATAAAAAAAATCACAATAATTTAAATAACATAATTTAATATTTTAGATATAATCCGCCTTCCATTTTACAACTAAAAAAATAATACAAAATAATTAGTACAATAAAATTTGGTCAAATAATTAAATATAAAATAAATATAATATAATAAAAAATAATTTTATCTTCTAAAAACTATAACATAATCTACTTAGCTTAATATAAGGAAGAATGTAAAAGTAATTTTGGTGTATTTTGATGTTTGCATTTAGGGGTATTTATAGGGGAGTGAGATTGGTGAATAATAGAGAGAGTTAAGACTCAAGTAATAATTGAGTGTCCAATAATTTAAAGTGAATAATGGAAGACGCGTCTCATGATCTACGTTTTTTCACCGTGATGTCAGCTCGGACAAAACCCTACAAATGTGGCCTCATGATCCACGCTTTATCAGAAAGTGTGCTAGATCGATAATATTTAGAGAAAAAATGTCTGACAGATAATATTTCATTATTAGGGTTATTTAGGTAAATTGCCAATAATACAGGGGTGGCCTCCACGAAGAAGCGAATGGATCTGAATCTCTAAAATCAAATAATTTAATTAATCAAAGGGAGCTTCCTGGAAGCTTAGCCAATCCAATCAAATCAAATCTATGGACTGCACCATTATAAATTAAACTACAAAATGGGATACATTCACATGCATCCTTACTTCCCTTGTCTTAATCTTTATTTATTTGTTTTTTTATTCAAAAATAAAACAGAGGTCTGTATACTTTAAAAAAAATTAATATGGTATTTGTATTATTTTTTTTATTGTAACATTTTACCTCAAAAAATAAATTTAATATAATTTTTTGTTTAACATTTTCGTCATTAATTGTTATAGTATTGACGTGAATTTACCGTATTAATGTGACGATTTACGACATTGACATGATACTTATGGTAATTGATAGCGTAGCGGTTGACATAATAGATGAACTAAATTGATAACTCAAATATGACAGCTAACTGTCACATTAGCACCGTAGATCACTATATCAACACCATGAAACTAATACGTCATCATCGTAACAATCAACAACAAAAAATATTGATAAAAAAGTCACATTAAATTTATTTTCTGAATTCTAAAACCACATTAAAAAAATAATACAAGAATCACATTAATTTTTCTCTCAAAAATACATGTACTTATGATGGTTTTTTACCTTTATTTTAATACTAATAAAGCTCTGCCTTCAGCACTTTTATTCAACCCCTTTTCTCACGGCGTTTTTTTTAAAATTCATTTATTAGAAAAAAAACGACCCTCAAATAACATTAATTGAAAAAATATCATAAATTACTCGCATAATATTATTTTGCGTTTTGGTTAGTGGACTTCACATTTTATTAGACACAAGATTGATCAACTTTATATAAACCCATTAATTTTTGGGATAAAGGCAATAAATGCATGAAATGCTTTATGAGTTCTTTGAACCAAGTATATTAGAGGTTTTCATGCAACTATATAATTACTTAATGTAATTATCAAACATGGGATAAATAATTAAGATATAATTATATTTCATGACCCAACCGTATCTAAAAAATGATAAAGTCTTGTAATTACACATTATTATGATATTAATTCTATTATCATGCAAATATATTGTGATGTCCAAATTCATTTTAAATGATGTGCTTTTTTTTATCATTATTTGAATTAAAATTTAATTAGTTATATTTACGTAATAATAAATTTAAATATTAATTAAAATGTTGAAATTATTTGATTTTAACAACAGTAACAAGCAGTGAAATTAGACTTAGTGTATAATAATATAAATATAAAAATCTAAAGTTTCAGTATAGTAGAAAACTAAAAACATACTTCAAATTATTTAGGGAAACAAATGGGAAGAATCACAAGAGAGGGAGGAGACAAAGACAAGCAGTTCAAATTACACGAAGAAAACGGAAAGTCAGAGAATTTAGCAATTATCAGAACTCATAAATATCCCCTCACCCACCAACGCTTTTGAAATTAACGATCTGCTTTTATTTCTTTGTTGTTCTCTTTCTTACCAAAGAAAAAGAAAATTCTTTTTTTTTTCTTCGGTGAAGAAAAGTAATAACTTTCTTTTTGTTTAATTTTCTGGGGTTTTTTATCCATACCCGTTTCAGGTTTTCTAAACAGTTGCAGTAAAGGTTTGTTCTTTTCTCAGATCTATTTATGTTTGATGGCTTTTCTATTTTTAGGATTGTTACTTTAGCATCAGCGTTGTATTTTATGCAATTCATGCCTTTTCTCCCTGTGTTTTATTGTTCCATGCTTTTGATTGCTTGGAATTGAATCTTTTGCTGTTTACTGGGATTGATTTGATGATGTAGGTTCCAGTTAAATGAATATAAGGCTTGGAAATCAAAATATCAAGTTTGACTTTGTTTATAATGTGAAATTGATTGTATGGGATAAACATGAAAGATGGGATCTTGATATGGGATTCTGTGGCTTTGTTGCAATTTGTTTGTGTGATAACCATGCTTGCTATTGTTTTTTTCTTTTTCTCTTGCACAAATTTCAGTTGTGCTTATGTTATTTACCTTGAGGAATTTAAAACCAAACGCATGATTTTGTGATGCCTTTTATGTTAGTGGCTGTGGAGAGCTTATATCTCTTTTGATGGATGAAGATGGACAAGGTGGATTACAAAGGGCAAATCGGAGTTCAATCTCATGTTGAAGTACGTTATTATTCATATTTTTAATGTTTTATCGTCCTCCATTCTTTGTTCTTCAACCCTTATTTTGGTTGATTGATTTGCATTTTAAGTTGCTAATTCTTTTTAGTGTATTTAGAGCTTGCATTTCTAATATTTTAGTGCATATCGTTGCAGATGGGACCACTAGATAGGGCAATGGATGATCTCGATGATGACTGCCTCTATTCCTCTGAAATGGATGCCCAAAAGACACAGCCTATTCTTTCAAACCAACGTTTTCTGTTCTCTGTTTTGCCTGTTGGTGGCTATAAAATGACAAGGAATGGTGTTTATAAGAGCATAAAGACCGTAGTTTTCTCAAATAAACTCAACTTGCTCATGCCTTTCGGGCCTCTAGCAATCATGGTTCATAAAATGAGTTATAGTAATGTGAGTTTTGGTTTTGATGCTCCTTTTTTTTAGCTTGGTTTTCCTTTTGGTATAAGTTGTATAAAATGACTAGGTGGATTGCAGGGTTGGGTCTTCTTTCTAAGCTTACTAGGTATAACACCTTTGGCGGAGCGTTTGGGTTATGCTACTGAGTAAGGATTCATCTTCTTCTTTCAATTTGGTATTTTGGTGTCGTTAGTTGTTCTATTGCCACCTAACATTGCTTTTTTCATTTGATTGAATTTAGGCAGCTGGCTTTTTACACTGGACCTACAGGTTTTTTTCTATTCTTAATTCTTACGGATTTTCTTTTTCTTGATCAAGCAACTAGTTTGTTTGTTTAAAATGGCTTGCCAAGGTTCCTTTTAAAACCCCTCCTTTTAATTTTAAATTTCATGTTAGTAATGGTCTTTCATCTGTTGAAACGAATTACAGTTGGTGGTCTTCTAAATGCTACGTTTGGGAATGCAACCGAATTAATTATTTCAATTTATGCACTGAAAAGCGGAATGACACGTGTTGTTCAGTTGTCATTGTTGGGCTCAATTTTGTCAAATATGCTACTTGTTCTTGGATGTGCATTCTTTTGTGGTGGGCTTGTACATTATGGAAAGGAACAAGTCTTCAGCAAGGTAAAAGTATTAGTATGTTGTCTGATCATATTTCTTCTATTTCCCCTTATTCGATCCCTCTAAACTGAAGTAAACTTTACCTTCAGGCCACAGCTGTTGTCAATTCAGGACTGCTGCTGATGGCAGTCATGGGCCTACTCTTTCCAGCAGTCCTCCACTACACACACACTGAACGGCAAGTTGGGAAGTCGGAGTTGGCTCTTTCAAGATTTAGCAGTTGTATTATGCTTCTAGCTTATGCTGCCTATCTTGTTTTCCAGTTAAAAAGTCAAGATGATAACTATGTCCCTGTTGTCGAGGTTGGTTATTTTGTCTTGTTATTTTGTCTCAAGTATTTTGTGTAGAATACTTAGTGTTGTGGCAAATGTTAATATCAGGAAGGAAGTCACAATGGGGAGGACGAAGATGATGATGAAGCTCCAGAAATTTCCAAATGGGAATCAATAATTTGGCTTGCTATCATGACTGCTTGGATTTCCATCCTGTCTGACTATTTGGTGGATACCATAGAGGTAACATTTGTTTTTTAACCTTCCCTCTTTCTTGGTTAATGGGATGGATGTATTAAAACATTTGAGGTCATTGGTCACTCAAAGAACAAGTTGTTAAATGAATCATAAAATACCGGCTTTATCATATGCATCCTCCAGTGTAATGTTTACTCAAGCCAGTCTGAGCATGAATCACTTACAAAATTGTTTGAAAGTTGGTTAGAGGTCCGCATTTGCTCTTTTTTTTTCCAGTTGGAGGGTATTAATCAGAACTTAGTTGGCTTTTAAAATTGATTTGCCTTTTGTTTCTGAAAACAATTTTCTTGAGAGTATATGCTGATTGGGTTTCTATGATCTTTCTGTTGTCTGCTGGTTGTTTCTTATAGGGCATCTGTTGCATGGAATGTACCAATCGCATTTATTAGTGTTATCTTGCTCCCCATAATTGGTAATGCTGCTGAGCATGCAAGCGCTATCATGTTTGCCATGAAAGACAAGCTTGTAAGTAATTCTCTTAACTTCCAATTTTATATTCATTTACATTTTTGCTAATTGATAAACCATCTTCAGGACATATCCTTGGGAGTTGCGATAGGGTCATCAACTCAGATTTCTATGTTTGGGGTATGTATTGTACATTGGATCCACCCGGTTTTCTGTTGATGTCACTCAATTATATCATACATCCAAATATTGGGATTTACTGGTTTTACTTTTGGTTTTATTCTTCGGTTTCCGGAACACCAAGACATGATTTAGTGGTTTTACATTACTTGTAATGATATTAAAGATGTACGGTGTTCAAATCCTGTAGAATTTAAACACAACTTTGGAGCAAAGCTGAAACCGGCTTTTATATGTTAGTGTTGCTAATATGCTATTTATTTTGCCTTGGTCCCTTAACCCGTATTATTTTTGAATTTGCAGATACCTTTTTGTGTCGTTATTGGTTGGATGATGGGACGGGAAATGGACTTAAACTTCCAGCTTTTTGAGACAGCAACTCTCTTCATTACTGTTATAGTTGTAGCCTTTTTTCTGCAGGTTGGCATATCAAGAACATTATACTTGAGTTCTGAGTAATGGGCATCATGAAGTTAACGTTTCTCTTTTATTTTGCGTGCAGGAGGGAACATCTAACTACTTCAAAGGACTAATGCTTATACTTTGCTATCTGATAGTCTCTGCGAGTTTCTTCGTACATGAAGATCCTTCTGCCACTGGTCAGTTCATCGATTCCCTCTCCAAATCATTCTTTATTTTGGTTTCGGTTCTCTATTGTGGTTCTCGTTGTTTTAGTAATAGCTGTGTGCTGTATGTAACCGGTTCGATATTGCAGGTCAAAGCAAGCTACCGAAAACATGACAAGTGAAAGAGATGAACTACGGGGATCGTATTTGGAAACTTGAAAGTTGCAGAGGCAGAGACCATGGAGATTTGAAACAAGATTGTCCCAGAAAGCATAGCATGGTGGTGTAAATATTTTTGAGAGGCAGATATTCCCTTTTTTTTTTCTACCCAGAGCCAAATTAAATGCTCAATCTTCATCCAGGATTAAACTTTGTATTTTCATAATTATAGTTCTGTGACATATCAAGAATCTAGCTTTTGGAGATTTGTTGGATTATTTTCTGTGCGTATTGAAAATAGGATTGTTTTTGTTTAAACAGGTGTAAAACATCTCATAGAATAACACTAATATTTGAACTAAAACCCCAAGTCATGAAGGACACATACAAATATGCAACAGATGTCCAAGGATGTAGGGTTAATTGAATCACACGTTCTCAAATAATGCGTCTGTCGATTAAAATGTTACTTGATGATTCAATAGAACATAAGGAAAACAAGTAGAAAAATCATGGTTTGTTGTTCACTTTAGTCGTGCATGTATGTATAATGGGAACTATAGCTGATAAATCAGGTTAACTGATGCAATGCAAGTAGCAGACATGGGTCATGATTTGGTAACCAACTGCAAAAAGAACTTGTACATCAATAACATAGCAAAAAACACTGATAGTGGTGGGGAGGGATGTTTCACTGGCTTTGACCGTTCCAATCAAGTCCTGATACAATATGGTTAGAAGTGCTGTTTGAAAATTAACAAGCTTGAAAGAATTCATTTTCCTCCAGTCACGAAGTTTCCTAGGGTCCCACTTTAGATCCACAATGCCATATTTTACAGACTGAACAAGCCATATTAAAAATTTAAGATGCATGTCAATATATCTACCTACCTTTGTTAATATAAACAAACTAGGTGCCTAATAATTTAACTTCAGAAGGTTTCTGCAGTATTTTAAGTTACCCAACAAAGGTGAATTTATCAGCCTAAGATTTTTAAACTTTCGAGATTCAGATTCTCCCAAATTTTCTTCATTTGTTCTTAATTTTTTTTTCCACTTCTGCAACAATCCAATTATTTGGCCTACTTGGTAGTCATGCTTTGAAGAAAAGTATAATATGAGAGAAAACATATGGATGATTCTGAAATACTATCACTTCCTAGTAAAAATTATATTTTCAAATAGTAAGCAATTAAATGGAAATCGCTAAAACTATAAGGTATTTTTTGCATTGACCAATTATATTTCTTAGGATTCTAAGTTTTAAAATTGCACCTGGAACCGTCATAGTGAAAACAAATAAAGTAATTGCAGTGCTTTAAACTGTTTTTAACTGAAACCCATGGATTTAGAAATAGCGCTTTTATTTTTGTCCTAGTAAAACACCTGGTGATCTACATATAATTCTTGAATTATTACTAACATTTGAACTATTTATCATGTTTAACATACACCAACCTGGGCATATCATATGGTGCTGATAACACAGAAGCCGCCAACGCAAGTACTACACCATGAACAGATGCTACGGAGTGCCCAGAATTTCTATTCCTGCATTCATGAGTTTATGATTAGACTTGCATAGATAGGTATCAACAGAAAACTAAAACCAGGACCTCATTCAGAGGTTAATGTGAATGGATGTATTTTATTTGTAAATAAGCCATTTAATTACAAGTTATGATTAAGATGCGTGTATAAGTTTTCTAATATAGATGGTAACATATAGGTTTTATAGCAGTTCCACGCACAGATTGTAAATGACCAGATTCTGGACATCTCTGTGGCACCACAAATCATGTGTACCAGAATTCAGTCAACACCCATGTGAATGCCTACATAAGGTATTGTCCTCTTTGAGTACTCAGAGACCACAAGCCCCTCAAGGCATACTCACTAAGTACCTCTTCCTTTTTGCGTCCTTGTACGTGCACCGTTGGGTGACAAAGTCTTGAGGGGCGCTTTTGGATGGCCAAATAGGACAATAACTTTAACGTAAGCATAAATGGGGTGACAACCAAATATCACTAAGTACAATGATGTCGGAGAGAAGTCCAAACCCAGTCAATACATAAATCTTATAAATTCAGCAAGCAAATTCAAAGCTCAGGATTTGATGATTAGTGCAGAGTTGTATTCTTATGAAGCAATGTAGGACAAGCATCTAATCATTTATATGCTGATAGTTTTTCCTTTGGACGGGTGTAAACTGAGATTCGTTATAGAAACTAAAATTATCATGGCATTAGCAAGATTAGCATTAAGAATTCTCTCATGCTTGAGGATAAAACCTTGCAATCATCTAACCCATCAAAACAACTTTAATTTATAGCATCTAAAAGAATTAGCTTCCATTAAACCAAATAATTGCCATAGAAATACCTTGTCTTTCTACTTCGTTGAATGGTATTTGCCTCTGCATAAGTTCTTTCACAGAAATCTGTAGATAAATCTTCATCCCCGCCTTTCATTAGACCAGCTAGCACCGCAGCAGCATGCTCTCTTACCTGAGAAAATGTAGCATTTTAGTTAAAGTAATAATATCATGTTTCCTGCCCAAGGACCTTAATCCTCAAATTGGGGAAAAAGACATTTTGAACCAGGGGATCCCTTGTAAAACTATAATTGTGAAAGCACATGACATCAAATTTTGTTATTTTGTACTTCATTCAGAGACCATAACTCAATTGATAACCTCCGAGAGTTCCTTCTCTTTATCAATAAAATGTCCCACATTATAAAGTTTAATATTAACCGTCATATAAGATACACACACGCACGCGCGCGCGCACACACAAAAAAAACACACAACCTCCACTTGACTGTCTTAAAGGAGCCTCTCCACTGTTCTCCAGATTTTTTGTTTGTCACCTTTTGAGAGAATGAAAGTATGCCTGTCATAAAGCACAACGGTTATTATGGCACACACAGAAATTTTATCAACCTATTTTCAGGAGGTAACTCCTGCCACTAGCTTTGCTAAAATAGGAAATTACCAACCCCTTAAAGAAGAAACACACCTGAACATAAAAGTTCGCAGATAGGTTAGAGTTGCTGATCTAGTTCGCCAGTTAGGATCATTTGCAGAAGAAAGAATAACAGAAACAGCCTTTTGGAGATGGGGTTCTAAAATGATTCTCCATTTTAGCAATTGAAACGCTGCCTTCGCTAATGTTGACAAATCCTTGTTTGATGTTTCCTTCAAAAGGCCCAAATATCTTAGATATAAAGTCAAGATGGCCAAAAAATTAGTCACTAGTAGATCAGCTAATCAAAAAGCCAAATTTATAGAGAGAGAAAGAGTTCCAATCAGGCAGCTCTATGTCAATTTGCTCCAAGAATTCTGAGAGCAAATGTATGCTAAATGAAGAAAGAAAACATAGACCTAGGCCTTATTAGAGATGCCATATCATACTTCGAATTTGCTGTATCCTAGTGATCATCAAAAATGTGCAGTGGCAAGTAAAACAGATTTATGGATTGGGAAGGAGGCTCAAGTAGAATGAAAAAAATCAATAAATGCTAGAAGCAATTTATCCCTGGTGTAGTTCTCTGGTCTTTATGAAAAAGTTAGGAATTCGGTAGTGTTTGAAAATGGAAATTTGACAGTTCTTTCTGTTCTTCATTTCCAGATTTAGGCTCACTAAATGGTTTTTAGCTAAATTTTCCTATGCTAATATTCAGGCTGATTTACTAATAGGGGATCCATCGCTTGCAGACAGAATCACTACTAAATTATCTAAGAAGAAGAAGGTTAATTGCTGGTTTCCGCCCCCTTATAATTTTTTTAAATTCATGTTGATGGAGCGGTGACTGGTGATGGGATGAAGGGTGGAATTGGAGGAGTTTTGAAAGATTCGAATAGCTCTACTTTAACCACTTTCTCTACTGCTGTGGGACCTGATCCTCCTATGTTTTCTGAGTTAAAAGCTATTAAACAAGGAATTGATATATTTCTTTCATCGGATTGGGCATTGAAGGGTAGACTTATCATGGAGAATGATTGTAAAAAAGTTGTGTATTGGATTTTGATGCCTTTTTCTGTCCCAACGTTTTTTAGTTCTTTGGTGGAGGAAATTGAGGCCTTTGTATCTACTAGAGGTATTATCATTAATTGGATTCCTAGGAGTTGTAATTGGGAAACAGACAAACTAGCTAAGGAAGGGATTGGTTGAAGTATACAGGGGTATTGTTGTATTGTTCTGTATTTTATTAAGGGATGTTTATTATGTAAGCTGTATCTTATGTAATTATGGTTTATTAATAAGATGAGGCACTGTTGCCTCTTTTACAAGAACCAACTAAGAGGGAGGTTTTTAATGAGGCCTCATTCCTATCAATAAATAAATAAATGCTAGAAGCAAACAACCCAATTCAGATGGTGGACACGAGTTAAATGGAAGTTGCAAATCAACAACCAATTACAAATCAACAGGCCAATCAAAATTAAGAGCATAATAAAATCATGAACCGATATATTTTCATCCAGATTCCAAAATACAAAGCCTTTAAAATGTTTAATGACGACTAAACCTAAATTACCACAGTTTACATAACAGAGGCTTCTATTTGCAATAAATAACTCATTGTAAAAAATGTTGAGCCCCTAAACTGGAGAGATAAATACAAGTTCAAACAGAATTTAAAAAGAAAAAAAATGCAATGAAAGTAACCAAACTGTAAATGCCATGAATTTTCAACTGAATGAGGAATGATAAATTCCAGAATCCACCTCTAACATAACATAATTGTTTTCAGTATAGTAAAGGAACTTTTTTTCTATCTCCATTTTCTGAAACAATATATTCAAAACCACATTTTGTTGGCCTGAACTTTTTTTTTTGATAGGAATTGAAGGCATCGTTAAAAACCTCCTTCATGATTAAAGGAGCTTGTAGAGAAGCTCCTTAATCAGCGGGAAGAGGAAAAGAATGCCTTAAGATTTCATTAAATATTTTTTTTATAAAAGTTGGAGGTCTCATTAAAAACTCCCTTCGTATTCGTCCACATACTAAGAAGTAAGTTAACGAACATTGGAAGGAAGAAAAGAGTACCTCATATTTCATTGAATAAAACACCCATTACATATGAAAACACGAAATACCCTCAAAAGGGGATAAACACCATTACAAAAAAACATAATCACCTAAAACTCTCGTCTTCTCGACCACAAAGATCTAGAGGCAATCACCCTATACCTAAGATAAACCTCCAGCAAAAGAAAAACAACCCAACAGTTAATGACAACATACATGAAAACAATACCTAAAACCATTAA